TGCCGCATGACGGAGTGAGCTCCCGTCTCTAGTTCCAGCTCCTGCCAACCTAGCAGTTCGAAAGCAAGAAATTACAAGTAGATAAATAGGTACCACTTTGGTGGGAAAGTAACAGCGTTCCGTGCGCCTTGGTGTTTAGTCATGCCGGCCACATGACCACGGAAATGTCTTCGGACAGCGCTGGCTCTTTGGCTTTGGAACGGAGATGAGCACTGCAACCCTAGAGTCAGATTCGACTGGCTTTCGAGCAAGGGAACCTTTACCTTTAATTCCTTCTGCTTTTGGCTGAGTCCTTAGCAAGGTGCTCCCTTTTAACTCCTATCACCTCCTGCTGCTGTTTTATTGGCTTGTACTACAAGAGGCTGTTTTAGGACATTCCAAGCCGTTTTGTCACTGCTTTATCGTTAGACACTCTAGCTTTGTCGAAATAATTTAACTAAGCCAAAAGGTAGCATCTGTGAAAGAGATGAGAAACTGGTACCATCCCCGAGGGCAGATAAAGCTGTTGGGGGAGTGGATCCAACCACAAACTACTGACTGATCATCACTTTTTCCCTTGCAGTTCCAGCTGGATGCAGAAAGCCCCTTCCCCTCACACACAGATCCCACCCCCTTAATGTTCTCTGCCACACTCATTCCCATAGCCATTGCACATGAAACAAGTTCACAGGTGTGGGGTTTGTTTCTCTTTCACATTGTATGGCCAATTCACACCCTAACTCTAGATTATTGCGTCTGAACATAGAGCAGGGGTCCCCACCGTGGCGTCCACCTGCCAACACCTTTTCTGGTGCCCGCCGAGTGTTTTTAGGAAGCGGATGGGGCCAGCAAGGGCTTTTGCCCAGCAAGGTTTCTGAATGGCTATTGGAGATTTGATTGGCTGTGCAGGTTTTCAAGGATGTTGCTCTGGTAGTAGCTGCGACCACAGCACGAGAATCTTCACTGTGTGTTTGAAGTAAAGCTATGGCAATCATTCTGTAGATGCATCCATCATGCTGCGTCAGAATTCGAAAGGTGACCGCAGGCTAAAAAAAAAGTTGGGGACCCCTGATATTGAGAGACATAAAACATCCTGATCGTGCAGTCCTAAACCCTTCCAAGTCACTGACTTCCATGCAGGTTAGAAGGGTACAACTCTGTTTAGGATTGCCCTGGCAGAATATCCCTGTCTATCACCCTGAAGACTCAGGTGGGTACCAACAGCAGAGTCCCAGAACGGGATGGTGGTGGGAGCAATTGGGCCCTACCCTACTGTGGCCTGAGACAAGCACCAAAGAGTCCCGTCTCCAAAAAAAAAAAGAGGCTAGGGCCCCATCCTGCCAAGTCCCCAGCTTGCTCCTTTCCCCTTCCTGGTTTGCTCTTGCTCTTGAGCTCACTTAGCACATATCCTGTTCTGCCTTAAGCTGGGAGCAAAGTAACTACTTCAATTGTAAGTGTGAAAACTCAATTTGTAACGCAAAGCCACCTGTGCTCTTTCTTGGGGAGGGCAAGGAGGGGGCCGTACTTTTGCAGGAAGATCTGCCAAGGGTGAAAGTGGACACCCAGACCAAGAGCCCCCCCCCCCCGCATGACTCAGCCCTTTCAGCCTACAGAATGGCCACCACTGCAAGAAAAAAGGTTGGTTCTGAGGAGTCCCCTTCTTCCCTCTCTACTAATTCTGGCCATGGAGAGACATCTGGCCTGCCAGGAGATTTTGAAATCTTACCTCTAGCACCATGAATATTTTCTCCGGCGTCTCAATCACCTGGTATAACCGGCAGACGTGCTGGTGGCTTAAGCTTTTCATGGCTTCAATCTCCGTCTTGACCCGGGGCAAGTCATCCTAAGAGGGGGTGTTCTCGGCATCATTACAAGCTGAAGCCACAACGGAGAATCTTCTCTGCAGCTCCTTCTCCGGCTGAGAACCCTCATGTGAAAAGAGGAGTCTTGGGGCACTTTGAAACTGGCAGCAACCCATAGGGTGTGGGGAAGGAAATACCCCAGTCCTAAGCACTGAGGAAGGGGGAAGCAGTGCCTTTCGTAAGGGGCTTTAGAGCTGCGAGGGTTGCTGCTCCATGTGGGCACGCAAGTATCGAGTGGCTACTGGAACACAGCAGCAGCAAATCACGTCACGGCTGTCCCAGATTTCCCCAAACTCAGCGTCTCCAGCCATGCCCACCCTGCCATTTCCTGATGCCCACTGGCAAGGATACCCCCTCTCCTTCAGTGGCACTCAGCGGCAGGAGCTGGGACATTCCCTGCAAACCACCCCGAGGGCCAGTCGCTTTAAAAGAACCCAGATTGAAAGAGTCACTGCGTTTTTCCAAACAGCCTTTAGGCCGTTCTCAGCATCATTACAAGCTGAAGCCACAACGGAGAATCTTCTCTGCAGCTCCTTCTCTGGCTGAGAACCCACATGTGAAAAGAGGAGTCTTGGGGCGCTTTGAAACTGGCAGCAACCCATAGGGTGTGGGGAAGGAAATACCCCAGTCCTAACCACTGAGCACTGGGGGAAGGGGGAAGCAGTGCCTTTCGTAAGGGGCTTTAGAGCTGCAAGGGTTGCTGCTCCACATGGGCACGCAAGTATCGAGTGGCTACTGGAACACAGCAGCAGCAAATCACGTCACGGCTGTCCCAGATTTCCCCAAACTCAGCGTCTCCAGCCATGCCCACCCTGCCATTTCCTGATGCCCACTGGCAAGGATACCACCTCTCCTTCAGTGGCACTCAGCTGGCAGGAGCTGGGACATTCCCTGCAAACCACCCAGAGGGCCAGTCGCTTTCAAAGAACCCAGATTTATTGTAACATAAGCTTTCATCACACCCACTGTTAGCAATCCCATCTCGCATCCCTGCGAGTGTGATAAACCCCCCCCCCCTTAGAACAGGCAGAAGCACCATCCCAAAAGTGAGAGCAGAAGCCTGCCACCTTCAATCTGCAGGAACACCTCCCCTGCTCCTTCCTCCCAAAAAACCATATAGGTATGCCTTTCAAATGCTTCAGCCTGCAGTCGGGACCTGGAGATCCCCTCAGAACGACAGCTCATCTCCAGACTACAGAGATAACTTCCCATGGAGAAAATGGCTGCTTTGGAGGATGGACTCTATGGCATTCTACCCCACTGAGGCCCCAGTCCTCCCCAGGCTCCATCCCCCAATCTCATTTCCCAACTTGCAGTTGCCAACCCTCCCTCCCCCATCCCCTGGTGGTGGCCGGGGCGGGGGGTGACGGCGACGACGACCCGGCAACCCTAGGTGCCACTGACTAAACCAATCTGCTGAAAGGAGCTTTGTGCCTCAAAAGTGTATAGCCTGGAAATCTTGTCAGCCTCTAAAGTGCTACTAGACTTGAATACGGCTGTTCTACTGTCGACCAGTATGGCTACCCACATGAAACTAGACCAATTCCCTGCCCACCCCCCCCCCCCAAAACCCCCCAAACCACGTTGACCCCAGAGCACCTGACGCGGCGGCAGTGTTCCCCTCTAAGCTGAGTTAGTGTGAACTAGCTCACAGATTTTTGTCTTCGCTCAGGAAGGAGGGCTCCGGAGCAAACTGATTTATGCAGCAGCCAACTCGCTCCCTCACAACTTTAATGCCAGTCGCTCACAAAGTAGAATTTTTGCTCACAAGACTCCACAGCTTAGAGGGAGCCCTGGGGCTGGGGATAGCTGTCATGGCTGCTGATGTCACAATGGTGCCATTTTTCTCCTTGGTTTGCCCCAGGGGACCATGTATGGTGGCCAGCTTATGGACAGAGGACATTAGCTGAAGGGAAGGGGGAAGGAGGCAGAGGCTTGAGTTAAGGGCATAAGCCAGACAGAGGACAGAAGGAAAGGAAGGCCGGGCACAGTCGACTGAAAACAGGTGGGGCTGTTTAGTGGGCACCTTGCTAGGGTTAATATTTAAAAGCAACCCATCAGAGGCCAGCCTAAGGTCTAGATCACTTGGAGAATGCTATCTAGGCAGCACTAGTCAGCCCTAAAGGGGTCTGGCAGCTCAAACAGAGGGCAGAAGGAAGGCCAGAGACCATCCCATACTCTCTCCCCTCACTGCTGACAAATCATACCAAATCTCCTTGCTCCTCAGGCAGAAACTCACCCCCAGAGCTGACTTGTCCATGATTTTTACTGCAACCTGCTCACCAGTAAGCCGGTGACAAGCCAGTTTAACCTTCGCAAAGCCACCTGTATGGAGAGAGGGAGTGGGAAAAGAGAGACGGTCAACATGTTTGTTCTTACTCCAACAACCATGGGGAACGGGTACAAGGGTAACTACTAGCTTAAGGAATTCCCAGCCCCTTCCCAGCTGGTGTGGATTGGGCAGATCTGGAGTGTCCTACCAAGTGACTTGTCTGCAGTAACTAACAGCACGCCTGACCTCCCATTTATTTCACAAGAACGTCTACCTACTGGAGGGGGGGGCACATGGTTCTGTAAAGTTGTGGCAGCCAATAATGGTGATGCCATAGGGCTATCAGAGCACAAAACAACACGGGTGGTTTGCCACTGCTTGCCTCTCCCATCCATGTACTAACCAGGGATGACCCAGCTTAGCTACCAAGATCTGAAGTGATCAAGAATGGGCTAGCCTGGGCTGTCTGGGTCAGGGACAGGTGGTGTTAGAAGTTAGGGGTGTGCAAGAATTCCCCCTCCCCCCCGTGTTTTCTGGATTCAGGTATATCAGACCCAAAGATATTAGAAAATACTGAATTTCCCGAGTACCGATACCAGTATATTATTCAGACTTGGAAAATATTCGGTATTTCTCAATGTATTCAGGTCTATTATCCCCATGGGAAGAGCAAAAAGGCATGTTTAAATGCCTTCCCTTCCCTTAGCCACTTCCACCACTCAGTTTCACTCCCTGCAGGTCAGCTGTTAGGGTTAGGACATTTAAACCTAAAAGCTGACTAGCGGAAGGGAGTGAAACTGACCAGTGGAAGTGGCCCTGTGGCTGAGGAAAGAAGGAAGAGAGATAGGAATGCTTAAATGCCTTCCCTTTTCTTTCCCAGCCTCCCCACTGCGGGGGGGGGGGGAGAAAAGAAACAGTGAGAAGGCATTTAAACATCCCTTCCCTTCCTTCCCCAGCCCCCCTGCCATGGTGGGGCAGCTGGGAAAGGAAAGACAGAGACAGGAGGCATAAATGCCTTGCCTTTCCTTCCAGCCATTCAACTGGTCAGTTTCACTTCCCTTGGCTTCCAAGCAGAGGGGAGTGAAACTGTCCAGTTGAATGGCTGGAAGGCATTGCTGCCAAATGGGGGGCCAGTGCCCTAGCCCACTGCCAGGCTGAAATGCCTTCCAGCCATTTAACCCCTCTGTTTCGCTGCCTCCCACTTCCAAGCAGGGGCAGTGAAAGGAAGGGGTGAAATGGCTCCCTGCTATTTCAGCCTGACAGCAGGCAGGCCCACAGGTCCTACCATTAGGCTGAAATGCTAGCCAGCCATTAAACTGGTCAGTTTCACTCCCCTCAGCTTGGAAGCCAAGGGGAGTGAAACTGACCAGTTTAATGGCTGGAAGTAAAGGGAAGGCATTTAAACAAGAATAGCTGACTGGCAGCTCCACCTGTCAGCTGCTGGGTTTAAATGGCTGGCAACTGGGTTTCAGTACAGGTTAATGAACCCGAACAAAATCAGCTTGTTTCAGGCTAAGCTATATCTGGAGCACACGATACCCAAAAAATACCAACAAGGTATTTTTCGGGTATTTGTTCAGCTCAGTTTATGCCAAATGCACAGCCTTATTAGAAGTATGTTACACCTGGTGTGGAATAACCAAATTGGCCTCTTTGATATGAGATTCCTTTGCGGAATACTTTGCGGAATACTTGTGTGGAGCTGCTTCTCTTCCTTCAAATTTCTCCTCAAAGCCCACTTTTCCCCCAAAGCCTCTGACTTACTGTCTCAACTGAAATGAATCCCAGGAACATATATTTCCATATATTCGTTCCTGTGTGCCCCTGCTGTTTCCCATGCCTCCTCCCATTTCTCCTCTGCCCCCAGATTTGCCTGCAATCTAAAAAAAGGGCCAAGGATTCGCATCTTTTGCTCTGTAAAGTATCCTGTAATTTGATGATGATATACACCAAGAACCATGGCATAGGGCGAAGGGGGGTTCAGTCTTTCCTGCCTGTGCCATTTTCCCAAGCTAAAGGAACATGGGGCAAGCAGTCCACTCCCAAACCATTTTGGCCTTGGGAAAAGTGTGGGACGGAAGACTGAAGCACTTCCTCCACCCTCGCTGTGGGGTCTGGAGTCAAATTAAGCCCCGGTGTGCTTGGGAACCTGGGTGCAGTGATGTCATGTTTGACTATGAAAAGGTCAGAGTTGGGTTGGGGAACTCCTCCCAATCCATGCCAGACATAGCATAAATATACTTTGGGCTGTGCTATAAAATCCTGAAGAAAAGCAAGATTGAAGAGTTGCCCTTAAAATAGAAGTACAACTCTTGGAGATTCTACCAGTACCTGAGAGGTCTAGATGTGCTTTCAAAGTTAGACAAAGTCTTCAGGGAACTTACCTGTACCAACCGTTTCACATATTTCATAGTACTTGAGAAGCTCCTCATAGTCATCCACAGCCATAGCGACAAGCAAGGTTTTCCCTCCCTCAGAAACCTGAGAACAGGAAGCGATTATTTATGCCAATCTATTTCTGAGGGAAAGCCAGAGCAAAAAAAAAATTCAGGGAGAAGAATGCCCTGCGAGAACAGCCCCCCAAGGGAAGAGCAGCCAGCTGGACGGACTGAAGGTGATGTCACAAAGCTGAGCCCTGCCCATATCACAGTGACATCACAGTGCAGCCAAGGCTCCTGTCATCCAGTCTTACCCGTAAGAAGTTCCCTGCTGGATCAGACCAGGAGAAAAAGAACTATGGATGCAGCAAAGCTCCTTGGAGGGAGGACAGGATAAATGCTCAAGGTGGATTGCCTACAAAAAAACCTTACCTTGACTGGGGAAACTCTGCATAGGATTGCACTGTAAGCTCATAACTCAGCGAGGCAGACTTAGCAAAGAGAAAAAGTGCTACCCGAGGTCAGCCCGATTCAAGACCAGACAGGACTTTGAATCCCTGATCCATAACCCACTACGGAATTATACAACACAGAGGGAGGATTTACTTTTAACTGCCATGAGGATTCAGTCCTTCTGAGGCATTTGTCAAATTCACTATTCTATGCAGGTGTAAGAGGAGACAGTTTTTTTTTTGGGGGGGGGGGGGTTAAAAGAAGCAGCTAAGAGAACATCAAACCAGCTGATTCTTCACAGCCCACAGTTTGGCTTGAATTCCCTAAGCAGCTGCGGTCAACTTTCAGTTAAAAGAATTAAGCCATTTTCCCTACCAGGCTTTATGGAAATCTTCACAACCATCGCAGAAGAAAAGCAGAACCAGCAGGCTGAGATTGGCCAGTGTGCCAGAGCCTCTGCCCTGAAGAAAGGAAGCCAACTGTCGCTGCAACTACAAATTAAGCCATTTTCCCTACCAGGCTTTATGGAAATCTTCACAACCATCGCAGAAGAAAAGCAGAACCAGCAGGCTGAGATTGGCCAGTGTGCCAGAGCCTCTGCCCTGAAGAAAGGAAGCCAACAGTCGCTGCAACTACAAGGAGGAGGCATTTAAGGCAGCATCATTTATGATCCCAATGTACAGTCCTTTAGTTGGCCAGTTTGTTCTTCAGTTCAGAGATTAACCAGATGATTATAGCATTCAGACAAGTCAGAGATAAATTGGTAGGTGAAGTCTTTTTTTTTGGGGGGGGGGGAGGGACAATGGCTAATTTCTAAAGAGAGATGCAGTGGCTGCCCAGAAGCTACACTCAGCTGCCTCATCAATTCTGCTCCCCTATAACACTGGGATCGCATTTTTAAAATCCTACTCTATCTTGATGGAATCAGGGATGTCATAGCTGGTTCATCTCCCCTCCATTTTATCTTTACAACAACCCTGTAAAATAGGTTAGGCTACAAGCAGGTCATTGGTCCAAGGTCACCTACTTAGCTTCTTGGCAGAGTAGGGATTTGAACCTGAGACTCTCAGACCCCAGTTCAACACTAACTGCCTAAACTGTACCAGTTCTCCTTGTGTATGTTCAATCTTGAGCAACAGGTATTCTGCGGGGTTATTTTTATTTCTCCCACCCCAAGATAACCAAACCTGGCCCCAGAATAAAGATGTATTGATTCTACGTAAGCTTCTTAAGTTAACAAAACTTCTGATTTCGGAAAGGCAACCTGCGTTTAAAATTAATTTTAGCGTGTGTAGTATTGCCAGGAGATCCTAAGATCATCAAGCAGCCAGAAGTTCTAGCTCTTTTAGCATTATGCACCACTAGGTGACAATAGATTTAAACTTTCAGTAGCACCCACAGTTCCAACATATATAGCCTTCCTGCTGGAAGAAAACTTACAGCCTCCTTTAGTAGATTGGTATAAAAGAATTCGGGATGTGACACTGAGGGCAAAATCAATTCACTGGGGCGATACTGATTTACAGAGCAACAGGCTTATTGAGAAGCAGGCAATATTGGTGATACACTGAAGCTGGAAATACTAACAGCAGCAAATCTGCCATGGAACCTCACTGGGTGGCCTTCAGCTCAGTCTAACCTACTTCACAAGGCTGTTATGTTGATAAAGTAAAGGAGAAAATAATGTTATAAGCCATTTTTCCCACCATGTGTGAAAGAGACACGGCATAAACACAGAGATTTCCTTTGCAATGTTTTCGTTGAAGCTAAAGGACTGCCAACTCCCTTACAAACCTTCCCAACTGCTCCAGTCATCTTCCAAGGCCCTGCTTCAGGTACCCTAGCTTAGGGCCTTCTTGGTTGTGGCACCAAAACTCTGAAATGCTTCCTCCAGAGAAACTCACCTGTCCCCCTCCCATAGCAGTCTTGCATCAGTGGTTGTAAGCAAACGAATAAAATAAATGTGTTCTGCTAGTGGTATACTGAAATTAATTAATTCGGTTTTTATGTGGGATTTTACAATCGTACCCACGGGCACAAAATAGCGCTGTGCACAGAAACACGCATCAAGGCTGAAATAAACAGGAATCCTGCAGCGCCTTAAAAACGAGGCTGCTGCTGCTGTTTTAGTTACAAGAGACTCAAGGCAGCTAAGCCTTACAAATCCTTGAAGACGACAACGCTACGCAGAGGCTTACTTAAGAGGAAGCTCACCCAAAACGTAGTGGGGCTTGCTCCCGAGTAGACGCGCACCGGATTGGGTCGTGCAGGAACTAAAACGACACAGACCTTAGAGAACAAGAACTAACATCGGGGAGATGGACGCTCTGTCGCTTACCAGATCAGTTCAGCCACGGGAAAAACAAAACGAACTGTCTCATTCAGTTCTCCGCAGGAAAATTAGCCCACCGTTTGCCAACGTTTAAAATTCCCGGACGGACAGCCCACTTCCAGTCTCCATCCAAACAGAGCAACGCATTCCTACCGGATGAGGCGGGCTTAACGAAAGGGTGCATGGGAAGAAGGTCGTAGAAAGGCGACACGGCGGTTGGGAGTCCATGTTAAGTGTACCTTTAAAGGGAAAGCAAAGCTCCTGCAAGAAACCGATTTCGTGATAGCCGTGATTTGGCGTGTTGGCTTTGAGTCCTAGCCGTCGCTTGCAGTTCCGTATAAAAGCGGATTGGCTCCAGCTCTTAAAATGCTGTTTTTTTTAAAGTAGCAATTTGGGGTTTATTATTGAAATTTTTATAAATAAAAAAGTGCATGATCTAGTTCCATTTTTTAAAACTGCAGTTTGAATTGTGATTTGAAATGTAATTTCAGATTGCAGTTTTATAAAGTGGGGACGATGGGATTAGTTTTTATTTTATTTTATTTTATTTTTGCAATCTCTAGAAAGGGGAGGAGGTATCCAACAAAGTCAACTGCTTTAAAGAGTCATTCCCTTTAAGAGTGTTAAAAGTACTTCAATGAATAGTTTAGTGGATTAATTAGTTCATCATGAGGTAAGGAGTAGTCAGTTCCACTGCAAAAGAGAAAGACTGTAGCCAGGCTGAAGAAGTGAGCAGTGACTCATGAAAGCTCATATCCCACTAATTTTGTTAGTCTTTAGGGGGCTACTGGACTCTTGCTCTTTTCTATTGCTAGTGACGACTAACACTGCTATCCATCTTGTAAATAACTTAGTGAGACTTTCTTCTAAGTAAGCAGAAGGTCAGCAGTGCTGCTCTGCTATTTAAAACAGTAAAGTAGTAACAGTAATAAGGCATAATCGCTGGTGCTGGTTTATTTATTACATTTTTAGATTTTAAAAAGATTTTTAGAAACTGTATTTAGAAATAATACCTCCAGTATTTTGATCACTACTGATGTATTGGGGGAGCATTTCTGTGATCTACCTCCTTTCAGCTTTGGTCATCTTCTTCCTTGTAGCTGATTATTAGACTGTTAAATACTGGGTTCTGGACGCATTGCAGTGATCAGCACTAGTTTATTTAGTGATTTCAGGAACACAACAAGGAAACCCAGCAGAGTTTGAGCCCTGCTTGTAAAACATGCAAACACCCCACACCACACACACACACACTCCCAAGAACAGGCTATTTACATTACAATGCTTATCAGGTCCATTCCAGGATCCTGGTCAGCTATTGTTCTTCGGGAGCAAGCTCACCCAGTTCAAGGTCCACATTCAGGGATAGCTCAATACATAACATAGACCTTGGGGTGGTGAAGTAGTCTCCCTTTCTAGAAAATTGGCAGTGTTAAATGCACTTGAATCAGGGTTTGAATCAACTGGTGGCTGGCATGCAAGAAAGTGGGAGTGGTGGTGTTTTGACTCTCATGTTTTAACATCTCCTTTCTGTGAGGAAACTTGGTGGGAAAACCTTATCAGTTTTACCAATTGCAAAGTTCCTTCCCTCTGCGGAGACTGCTTTCCAAATGAACTGACAGAAGAAAGTCTTGTCAATTTCAAGCGCCGCTTTTCATTCAGAGGCCGCCCTGCACTACTTTCCTACTTACTCAAATGACAACCACTGGTCAATTTCATTAATGCCCATTTCTGTCATTGTTACCTCGCCCCCTTAGTCACATGCTCTTAACCTAACCTGCCTCACTGGCTTGTTGTGAGTATAAAATAGAGGGAAGAAGAATGATGTAAGCCACTTTGGGTCCCCACCGGGGAGAAAGACAGGATACAAATTAATTAAAGAAATAAAGCAACTTCAGCATTCAGTGATATACTGGGAGTGAGATTTTTTTTAAAAAAACAAACAGGAAAACGAGTTTTATCAGTTGCGGTGTGTTGTAGTGTAGTGGCTAAGAGTGTCAGACTAGGATCTGGGAGACCCAGGTTCGAACCCCCATTCTGCCATGGAAGCTTCCTGGGTGACCTTGGGCAAGTCGCACTACCTTAGTTTAGGGTTGTTGTGAAGATAAAATGGAGGAGGGGAGAACACTGTAAGTTGCTTTGGGTCCTCACTGAGGAGAAAGGCTGGGTACAAATGAATTTAACAAATAAGTTTGCAAATGAGGGAAGCTAAAACTTTACTTTGCGAAGAGTCCCATCCTAAGCAGTTACACATTTTTAAGTCCTTGAACTCCTAAGCTTGGGAG